TGTGCTTACTCCTTTTGGCCATTTGAAGATCTCTTCGAATGCTTCCCCACCATCTTTTGAATATTCCAAAGTCCTGGAATAAAATACAAATAATTTACAAGATTTGTGGAATTTTTCCCGTGGCATACAAATTAGTTCAAACGGCTTAAAGACGTGCTTTCTTTATTTCTGCAAAAAATCCTCAGTTGTTGAATGCCAATACCAGCGAGCTAGTTTTATTAATTAAAAAAAGTTTAGTTGGCAGTTTCGCTTATGGAACTTCGGCGCGTTCACACACTCAATAAGAGCATACAAGCCAAACCTAAGTGCTTTGTAGGGTACGCTTGCAATACGAATGACCACATCGGGCCGATTGCATATGCTGGCCGGGAAAATAAATCCATCGAAGTGATCTGGATTGATATTTTGCACAATCTTTGATTTGAAACAATAGAATCCTGAAAATACTATGATTAATCTGAACTGTTACTAACAATTCATATCAAATATGTCAGAACCTCCAGGGCAGCTAGCATGGGTATTTCATGTTAGTGATGTTGAAAAGAAGACCTCCTCAATATGTTTTCGTTATTATTTCATGTATCTCCTTTATGCCCCGTCCCTCCTCTCTACTTTGCTGTTTTAAACGACGTAATTTGACTGGCAAAGGTAAATGATGAAGAAATGCGTCATTGCTGTGATCGACGAGGACCAGCAGTTTCAGCTGCGTCGTAGGGAGGGGGGCGGCTTGACTTGTTTTTGATAGGGGTTTCACTAGAGGGGCGGTTGGATGAGCTATCTGTTTTCCGTTTTGGGACTGAGATCGGGGTGACATTACCTTCACGATGTGCCCATTGACGCACAATTTTTCTGATAACTTTCTGCTTTTAATGCTATCCGGCGTTGTATGTTCTCGAGATCATTTCTCGAAGTTATCCAAATATCGCTATTCACGACGTTACTCCGGCGCTGATATTTTCGGCATTATCCTAACGCTGGATACTACTCTCGACGCGGCGTTTTCTGATATTATCTCGTTGTTGTTTTCTAACACTACCTGTGGAACTTACTTTTCGACGATGCCCCTTAACGCTACATATCGACACTTCTCTCAACACTTGGGGTATCGATCGACGTCTCTGAATCTATTTTGCGGCGAAGATCGTGGACATTCATGGACAATTCGCACGATCTGATAACAAGGACGAATCATTCTCAATGAGCTTTTGCTTTGCTCAAAAGAGAGATGCAACTTAGACGCTTTTCAAGGCCGGGCACAATTGTACTATTTGTGCACCACACTTATCACTAACGGTAAATGGGAATTACCAGTGTTAAATGGTGTGAAGACTAGTGCGTATTCGGAATCAGATCCATGCACCGCGAATTGCTCGCCATTGCCTGCAACGATTGCTGCCTGTACAACAGAAGAAAAAAATTTTCTCTTGTCAAGTGTGCTGAAAAAGGTTTTGTTGTAGTCCGTTCTACGCCATTTACATTCAGAAGATTTTCATTATTTCATTAAATATACATATATATATAATTGTACGTATATATACCTGGCTCAGCAGTTACACATATATATATATATATATATATTTATATATATAACAGGTGCATCAGCAGAATTTGCTGATATATCAAGAAAATGCTAAATAAAAAACTGAATATGCACAAGACGTACAAAAAACTTAATACGCACAATACTGCACGACATCCTCACAATCCACGAGAACCCTAATTTCCTCTACACCAATTAGTACGTGTTTGATGTACTATCGGTTTTGTTACACTGCGATTGTGTCTCTCCGCTTCTTTCTTCCTCCTCCCGCACTGCGGACTGAGAATTCAAAATAGCTAACAGAAGCCCTCTACTGTAGTCGTACATGCTGGACACTGAGATTTCACGCGACTTCACAGTGCAGCGCCCCCTCCCTAGATGACGCATCTTCCCCGGTACATGCAAAATAAAAAACCAAAGACACGACTATTATAGATTCACATGTTAAACTGTAAAGCAGTAACTATTCAGGCTGTCAAAGAATCTGACTGTTTTGAGTTTAACTCAAAAACGTATGATCACACGTGCTACTTGGTTATATTCATCAATGTTTCTAATACGCATAAGAATAGAACCGATAGAAAGCGCCATCTGAGCTTGGAAGTACCACTGAATTATACCTGTGATTCTAATGCGTTTTTTCGCTTCCTCAACTGTAATTCCGTCATCACCGTCATAATCGTCATCAGTTTCGCTTGTTTCACTACTTGTTTCTGTCTCGGACATTATTCCATCGACATTTTTGCCATATATGGCCCCGCTCCCTGATGCCTCGTTGCTCGCAACTCTAGCTTTGGTATCTTTGTCACTTGACAGTGGCTCACCCACCAAATCCAAATCATGCAGTACATCCACCGTCATCATTTCCAGTTGTTCCAAACTGATGTTGTGGCTGTCAGCGATTCCTCTACTCGCCGATGCCTTGTTCGTAGCTACATGATCGAAAACACTGCCATTCTTAACCACCTAAATAATAGCAGGGTTACGGGAAGGGGACTGCCGAAAAATTTGCATTATCCAGAATTTGTTGGATCCTTCTGCAGAGCATAATTCAAGAATCCAAAAAGAACAGCGAGATGTTTAAGAACAATTTCAAAGGGACGCTATCTCTTAATCCTAATGCTGCTGATTTAGTACTTAATTCGACTTAGACACAAAAAAGAAATGAGAGATCCACAAAAGATTTCTCTAGCCCCTGAACAAACAAAAAGCACCCTTTTCTAGAAACCGTTTTGTGTCGCGTCGCAGGCGAATTCCGAAGATCGCTCTCACTACATTTGTAAGTCAGTGGTGCTGGGGCATTTTGCTAAGTTTATCATAAAGTTCAGATGATAATAAAACTTACCACTGCGGAACTCTCGGGACTGCTTTCACTTCCAAGGTCATTATCGCCAAATGAATCAACATGTGTTTCATTACCTGCAGTGGTGTGATAATTCATCTAAGAGATTTTCTGGGTTTTGTGGGACCATGACGAAACAGTTAGATGTTGCATAGAATAAGGGGACGAAGAAGGAATTCAGTATTTGCAGAAATCTGTCTATAGCTAGGATATATAAAACCCAGAAAACTTCTCTGGTTCAGACTAAAAAACCTAACAAATAGTTACCTGAAGTGCGAGCAGTGGGGGGTACGGCACTTATGAGGCCAAAAGTAGCGCTTGCGAAAAGCAACGCTGTGACAGTCAGCATCCTCTTCTTCAGTGGCGTTTATTCGCCACTGGTCTCTTTTTATGGCGACGAGACGAAAAATCATCCCTCATTGTTGTTCGCATGGATTAACAGCATGCCGGCCGAAGTTGCAGGAGAGGTCGCTGAAGAGCACGAGCGAGATGGAGAGGAGGGGGGCTGAAAAATTTTTGTGTAATCCGAAATGTGGTCGTCGACGGAGTAACTTTTGGATTTATGCAAATAAGCGGCAGCAGACATGGCTTTAGTCGTAGACGGATTGAGCTGCAAATGCGTACAAAAAGTAATCCTAATTTATCATAATATTCCATGTATATGACAAAAACTAACAGGACATCTGCGTACTAGCAGTCGGATGTAAGTTTTTGAATCTTAGTAAAAGTAGATCTTCATCAAAACGAGTTGAATAAACTTTGTATTTAAGCCGTTACTGTCTAGGAAATATAGATAGGTGTCAATTGCTATTTGTCTTTTATTATTTCATTATTTACCAATTAGATCGGACAGTCTTTTTTTTTTTGCCAGTAAGTATCCGATTCCAGAAATCATGAACAGTGGTAGCTAAATATGCGCCTAGATTTACACGGAACAACTGGAACATCTGTTATGTCGAGTGATCATGACTAAAACTTTTATCCTGAACATTAGTCTGAAGCTATAATGCAGCCATGATTGTTTTTTTGAGCATTTTGACCAACGACAAATAGCTTCATCGTTTTGGTATGGGTTAAGCTGGAGAAGCAGCAAAATTAATGACCGTCGGCACGCTGATTATCGCTTGTTACATCACCACTTGTGGCAACCAAAATGTGCAGCCTTCATAATTAAAAGAATAGAATATGAATTATAGCTGTACTCAAAATAGTTTGCCGCAAAACTATCAAGTACGGAACATATATTTGAATCGAACACTCCAAAATACTAGCAAGTGCAGATGAGAGAGCATTCTTTGCATTTCTGAAATATCTTACTTGATCAAACCACTCAACGTCACATTCTAGTCAGAGTTGTTCGGCAGCTGCCATCAGACACAGTTGGAATCTGACGCAAAGGCGAGCATGTCCAGCGTCTTGTAATTCTTTATTTTCAGGTGTTGTGGTGTGGCGGTTCCAGTACTCGGTTTTAAGCGGCGGAATGCTTCCCTTTGTTTGGTACCAGTATTCGGCTTTAAATCGCTGCGTGGTTTTCTTTGTTTTGATTGCCGGGAGTTGTCGGACGTTTACCGCAGAGGGAGCATGGGAGTAAGGGGATGTGATGAGTGATGGGAGCGGTGGAGTGTGGGTGAGGGAGGATGGCGTGGCGAAG